ACAAGACAATCTTAGCGTCTTCCCTAATGGAACTTATAATTCTTCCCGACACCAATAAGACTGGTAAGTATTGCTGTGTAAAGGTACACACTGCATAGAATGGCACTCCTATCTACTTTAAATGAGTCTTCCATTTCTCAAACATACCATCAATGGATGCATTTCCTTGGTCAGCTTTCTCACTTCCCTAGAGTACCTTTCTAAATCTTTTATCTGTCTTCACACTTCTAACCCCATCACCTACCTAACTTCATAATCAACAGAGGACATTGCTTGCTACTTTACTGAGAATAGAAAATCCATGAGCTAGAAACTCTTTCAATTTCCCTCACTGAACTCAACAGCATTTGCATCAATCTTTTTCGTTTTCCTCTCTTATAACAACATGGACATGTGTCTCCTCCAGTGCTCTGGATCCCCAAAACTCTTGCCTTCTCCTGCATTATTGTCATTTAAGCCCTCTCTCTCCTATACTTCAACCTCTCCAAACCACTGATCTCTTCGTATTAGCATTTTAAGATGGTCAAGTCATTTTCCAGCACGCAATCTGTCAATTTCTTATCAAAATTTAAACTGGCTAAATGAACTTCCACATGAAAGAAAAATATGCAGCTGCTAAAAAAAAAATCTAAAGAACCTAAGTGAAGAAAGCAGAATGTGATGATAATCACCATTTGCTGCACAGTTCATGTAGATCATTTAGATAGAATATAGCCCTACCTCAGTTTTAACAGGTGTATAGTATTCCATCATATATATACATATATACACACACACACATATATATATATTACACTTATATTGTTTAACAATTCCTTGTTGGCAGGCATTTTGATTATTTTTGGGTTTTGGGTTTTTTTTAGGGGGTTCCCAGTATTAACAGTATGACAATGAACATGCTTGGGCATATACTGATATATATGTGTGTGTGTGTGTGTCTTGGTAAACTTTTTCAAATACAGTCATAGGATGAATTTCTAGCAGTGAAATTGTTGGATCAAAGGAAAGTGCATTTCTTTCCTTTTTAAAATCCTTGCTGATAGCTTATATGAGCTGATGAGTATATATATTTTTTCCTTTTTTTATTCAAATGGTGTAAACATATACATGAGGTGACTGCCTATAATTTCAAATGATTTAACACTATTTTTCACATTTAAGTTAACTATGTCATATCAGAATATAAAGAACCTCCTTATTTCTTGAAATAGACCTCTTTTGATTTCCAAAACGCTATACACTTCCGGTTTTCCTCCTAATCCTTTAGCTCTTCCTCAAACTCCTTTACAGATTTTTCTTCCTCCATCATTTTTTAAATGCTAGAGCTCTTTAAAATTCTATGCTAGGTTCTCTTATTCTCATGCTACATAGTCTCCACGGTGATTTTACCCAAGCGTAAGGCTTCAACTAGCATCTACATGCTGATAATTCCCAAAACTATTTTCTCTAACCCAGGTCTTTCACTCGAAACTTAAACTCTCATATCCAACTGCCTGATAGACTTCACTTAGATGCTAAATATGTAAGCATGAAGAAATCTTTTGCTTTCATTTTTAATATGTAACTATTAACATCATGCTTTTTAGATGGAAGAACTCTTTAAAAGTATCTAACTCAACCATTTCACCACTCCCCACCCCTTTTTTTTAAAGAGATAGGATCTCACTATGTTGCACAGGCTGGCCTCCAATTCTTGGGCTCAAGTGATCCTCCCATCTCAGCCTCCTGAGTACCTGGGACTTGCCCAGCTAACTATCTCATTTTTTACAGATGAGTGCCTAGAGATTAAGTAACTGACCCAGGCTATATTGCTAGTAAAAAAAAAAAATCAAGAGAAAAGCCAAGATTTCCTGACTTCGGGTCCAATGACCTTTTATATATCACAATAATATGTTGCCAAGGGATCAAAAGAAATACGTCAGGATTAAGAGAATAAGATAGACATGGGAAGACTGAATAGTTATTTAATAATTAGATATAGTCAAATATGCATACCTTAAAAGTACCAATAAAGTTGTAGAAGAACTAGCTTGACTCAAAATAGTCATATTCTTTCTTATTTTGACTACTTAGAGTTCTTAATTTTACAAAAGAATAACCATGACAATTACAACTCAATTTCACTCCAAGTTTCCAAGTGAAAAGAAAGCCAGAAGTTTAGAAAGGAAGTGCACCTTGGCAACACTGTGAAGAATGCACCAAGAACAAGCACTGTTCTTTTTTTTTTTTTTTTTGAGACAAGATCTCGCTATCTTGCCCAGGCTAGAGTGTGCTGGTGCAATCATAGCTCACTGTAACTATGGAACTCCTATGCTCAAGCAATTGTCCCACCTTAGCCTCTTTAGTAGCTAGGACTACAGGCCTGTGTCACCATGCCCACAGAGAATGAGAAACATTTATTTACAAGGCTACTCTGAGTTTGTTTACCCAAGTACTGCATCTTCAGATCTGCTTTCTAGACAAACTAAAAGCAGAGGCTAGCTCTTTCTCAAAATGAATGCTGTATTATTGTAAACTGTTTTCTCATACTATAAAGCATATAGGACTACCATCCGTACCTACTCTTAGGAAGATCTGAGAAGAAGAAGAGTGGTTACCAAAAAGAAAAATTATTTCCATAAAGAACATTTTAGGATAAGTCAATGGAAACCAGAGCCCACAAATGCTTTCACAATTACCTCGTTGTTTATCCTTTGGGTCCTCCAGTGGAATTGGTTTCTTAGACACAGCATCTTTTACAGCTTGCCTTAGTTTCCTCTGTTCTTTTCGGTACTTCTTGAGAGTGCTTTGTTGCTTAAATTGCTTATTTTTTAGCTTGTTTTCAAGTTTGACTTTACTAGTTTTTAGCAACTTTCGAAAGCTTGGGAGCTGTTTTTTATTTCTTCTCTAGGAAACAAAAGCAGAATGAACACTGCATACCCAGAAATTTAAATTACTTTATTTTTAAAATCGAGTTAAAGAGAATTGATTGTAAGTTTTTAAGTTTCATCAGAACCAATTCCACAATTTTAACGTCTCACAGCCATGGATCTTTCATATAAGAGCTAAAACAAAATTATGGTATTAATCTTACAGAATGGTACTAGAGCATCAATTATTCAACCTGGGGTCTTTCTGTGAACAGAATCAACAGCTACTCAAAGGGATCTAAGATCTCCAAAAAGGTTAAGAACCACTGATCTGTAGTGGTAAATCCCCGTTCAGGGCTAGTTGAACAACTGTAGCTTAACGCATTCAGAACAAAACGCTGGCTGTTTTAATAATTGAAATTTATATACTGTTTTACCATTCACAAAGTGCTCTAACAAATCACCTCCAACAGCCTAGTTATCCTGTAGTTATCCTCACGTTACTGATGAAGAGGCTAAGGCTCACAGAGGTTATGCAACTTTCAAAAGACCCCTCAACTAGGGCAAAACTCAATTCGGATCTTTGGATTCCACCTCTCTTGCTGGTAACCCCTCATTCGGAAATCCAAATCCCAGGACTAGCTCTAATTTTCTGTGAGAACCAGGGCAAATCACTTGCTTTCCTATCCCTTCATGGGCGGAAAATGACTCGTCTCGGATAAGTACCATGGCTCAAATCATACAGACCCTGCTTCTTATCTGTAGAAAAAGGGTTCGAAAGACGATCTTAAAGACCCCTTCCAAGTGTGAAATCCTATGGATGCAAAACTCCGTTACTGTCTCATCGTGGTCCCTTTAAGCTATGCGTGCGTACAGTGGGCGACGAAGGACGAGCCCGGAGAAGCTGACAGCGCAAAGAGCCCGGAGTAAGCCCCAAGTCTAGACCATCGCCCCCTATACAAGAGTGAATGCCTGCCGAAAAGCTAAACCAAGCAGCGACCCCGTAAGCCAGAGGGGCCCTAGACCGCGGGGACTGGGCTTCTGAGGACACTTACTGCCTTCATCCTTACGCCCGAACAGAGACCCGGCCTGAAAAATTCATCAGGGTCAGGGGTAATCCAGGAATCCGGCGCAGAGACACACGTGCTGAAGCCGCGCCAGTTTACTAGCCGGAAGCACCTTCCAGCCCCGCCCCATCCTCCGCCGCCGGAAATAACGAGGCGGGACTTCCGTCGGCAGGTTCGGGGTCGCGGCCTTTCGCGATGTCGGTTTCGCCGCCCTGAGCTGGCGGCGCCGCGGCTTGCGCACGCGTGTGAGCACGCGCGAAGCCCCAAGAGGCACCGGGGCCAAAGGTGGGTGGCCGGTGGCGGAAGGGGGTGGAGGCGTTTTACAAAGGTCTTTGACTCTTTGACTTTCGTCCCATTTCTTTTGAAATCTTGGGGAAATCGGGCTCCACCTCTCAGAAGGAGAGTGCTTGGTTTTTTCAATCACCCTTACTGCATTTTGTGCCTCTCCTCACGTTGCTTATCTCACCGGGTTATACACCCTGATTTTCGTAGTCTTCCCTCCCGGCAGCCTTGAGCACAGGGAGCAGCTTACCCCTTTTGTGTAATGCTCGCGCCTCCACGGGCACCCTGGGCGTGTTTGTGGAATGCGAATGATTTTTATCACCTTCCGTCACTCAAAAGTGTGTGATTCTTGATATTTTATTTTGAAAAAAAATTTTTTTCTAATTTTGGCCATTGTCTGATAGGGAACTATATCAGTGAGACTCATCTGCATTTCAGTATTTTACAACTATTACCTTTGGGTAAATTCTCCCGTCTGCTTAGTAATTCCACCGAAGTCATTGATTTTAACAGGAAGTTTTATGCATTGCAAGAATAATGTATTTTTCAAAATGCCTCTCAAAGACTTTTTTCCCTGAAGAAATTTAAAAATTCCACTTCAATTTATTAAAAAAAAAAAAAAATGTATGATTCTTGAGCACAACCCTGGCACTGAGTCTGACCTGGCAGTCCTGAGCAGGCAAGGGAAGCCAGCAGAGGCTCAAAGAGTTCTGAGCCCCTTGGATGGTATTGGTCTTAAAGAGACTGGGGGAGGAGGGTGAACTTGCCAGTTTCTGGATCCCACCTCAAAAAGCAAGAATCCCCTTCTGTCTGGCACTGTTCTTCCTACCTCCCTTCCCTTCCAACTTCCCCCTTGCTCGCTCTCCTTCCAGTCTCTGAAACAGCAGAGCCTGTGCCCTTGGAGTGTTACTTCATCGGACACATTGAAAACATCGTCTGTGCTTTTCCCAAGTGCCTTCCAAAACATATCAACACATCTATAGTCACTCCCATCCTTTCAGCCTCCCCTCCAATCTCTCTAAGGATGAGGCATCCCCATTCCAATTCAAAACCTATTCCTCCCAGCTTCATCAGACTCTGTATTATTAATTATTCCTTCTCTCCTGTGTCCTTTCCCCTACCCTTTCCTTCACTAATAGATGCTTCCCTTCAACCTGTAAACATTCAAATCTCTTCCATCCTTAAAATTTTTTTCTGATAAACTTACCTCTTTTTTTCTTTTGTAGAGACAAGGTTTCATTGTGTTGCCCACGCTGGAGTTCAGTGGTGCGACTTACCTCCTTTAATTGCTGATTTGTATTCTTCCTTCCCTGCTTGCCCCTTTTCCCAGAAAAAGTATTAAATAGTATTCTCCTGGTGTCTCCACTTCCTCGTGTCTATTATCATAGCCCAAGCTTTTCCCAGCTTTTTTAAGAACTGTATCATACTCTTGGCCCATTTTAAGTTTATCATCAACTAAAATCTCTGGACCATTTTTAAGCAATTGTTGCCAAGCTAAATCTCTCCCATCTTGAATTTGAGCAGTCTGTCGTTTGAAAGGAAACTTAAAAATGGAAGTTTACGTGATTCCTACTCATTTAATCTTACTGGTTTCTTAATTCTGTTGTCTCTAGCTTTGCGTCATCTCCTGTTCACTCAATCCACTGGCAAGCCCCATTTGGGCTCCAGATCTTCTTAGATCCTTTAGAGATTTCCTGGACACTTGAGCTGAGAAGGGTCACTGAGCTATCCCAAACTAGCATCGCAGAGATTGTACCCAGATATTCTATGAGCTCTTTTGGGAAGTGTGTTAAGAACCTATCTGGCTCTGCCCATAACATTCCACTGAAACTGATCTCATTAAGGTCACCAAGAACCTCCAAATCGTGGTTTTTTTCTGTGTGCAATGAATTACATCGTTTCTTTCTTATTTAACCTGACTGGATCTCTCTGCTGCATTTGATGCTACACTATCTCCTTTCTAACATTAGAACTCCCTTCACTTGGCTGGGCATGGTGGCTCATGCCTATAATCCTAGCACTTTAGGAGGCTGAGGCAGGAGGATTGCTTGAGCTCAGGAGTTCAAGACCACCCTGAGCAAGAGTGAGATCCCGTCTCTACTAAAAACAGAAAAATTAGCTGGGCATCATGCCATGCGCCTGTAATCCCAGGTATTCGAGAGTCTGAGGCAACCGGATCAGTTGAGCCCAGGAGTTTGAGGTTACCGTGAGCTATGATGACACCACTGCACTCTACCCAGGGCAACAGAGCAAGACTCAGACTCAAAAAAAAAAAAAAAAAAAAAAATTCCCTTGGCTCTCCTAAGAGCCCTTCCCTCGGTTCTCCTCCTACCTCCATTCTTTCTTCCTCCCTTCGATGAAGGTGACTCTCAGGGTTCTACTCTTGGCCCACTTTTCTACTTCTCTTCTCACTCTACTTGCTCTACCAGCATGATCTCATCTCTCTACCTATTGCAAAGAGATTTTGTCCAGCCCATACCTCTCCCCCAAGCTTCAGTCTTGTAGCCACCTGCCACCTGGACATCTCTTCATGGTAACCATGGGACTTCAAATCACTATGTTCAAAAGTGAACTATTTTTTCCACTTGCATGTCATCCAACATTCCCTGTTTCTTTCAGTTACCCACAGCTAGAATCCCAATATTCCAGAGATCTTTGGAAATAAGCCAGGGCTTTCTTGGCCCTTTACCATATTACAATTCTTCCATTTTCTTTAAACAGGTTTGAAAACTGTTACTAAGTGGACATGGTACAATAAGGATTGTGGTGTTCCAGTCCCACAAGATAATTTATGTAAGTTATGATATGTAACTATATGAATGTTTGCCACTTTGTAACATCTGTTTGGGAATAGAAGAGGCCCACACCTCAGGATCCCAAATTAGAAAACAAAAGTTGTAATTGGATGTCGTCACTGTCAGACATCTTGGACATAAAAGAGTGAGGCAGGCTGCCTTACTCACCTTTGCTCACCCAAAGGTGACCTTGTAGGAATTAGAAAAAGCCTCCATTTCCTCAAGGCAATTTACTGTCATCAGCAAAAAAAAAAAGTTTACTATGTCTACACATAAACGTCGAATGATGCCCCTTGAGTTGTGTAACATACAGTCCTCCCTTATATCAAAGTACTTGACCATGCTCAGACCCTTTCTCTTTCTCCTCCTAAGATTTAGGGGAGGGAAGGAGTTTAGAATCTCTGTTCAGACCTTTGAAATAGTGTGACAGTTAAGGTAAAACCTCACCAACAGAGAGTTGAGAAATAACTGTGGATAACATTTAAATATTACATATAGTTACCTTGGTACAAAATAAAAAACTTTACTGCGATGTCACTCTTGTAGAATTCTAAATCTTACTTTCACTGATTTATTTATTTGTTTATTTATTTATGTATTTTGGAGACAGAATCTCTCTTGTCCAGGCTGAAGTGTAGTGGTGTGACCATAGTTCACTGTAACCTTGAAGTCCTAGGCTTAAGGGATCCACCTACCTGAGCTTCCCAAGTAGCTAGGACTACAGTTGTGTGCCACCATGCCTGGCCAATTTCTTTTTTTTCTATATAGAGACAGGGTCTCGCTCTGTTGCCCAGACTGGTCTTGAACTCCTGGGCTCAAGTGATTTTCCCACCGCAGACTCCCAAAGTGCTATGATTGTAGGCATGAGCTGCTGCACCTGGCCATCATTCACTGATTTATAAAAAGAAGCTATTTGGGGCCTGTTTTCAGATATAGAATACAGTTGTATGGTTATTAATGTACTCCTTAATAGAAATTATCAACTATAAAGAAATACACCACTTCCAAGAGGTACTGGTAATTTTATTTGTGATTTTTTTTTTTGAGATAGGTCTCACTCTGTTGCCTGGGCTAGAATGCAATGGCATCATCATAGCTCACTGCAATCTCAAACTCCTGGGTTCAAGCAATCTTCCTGCCTCAGTCTCCCAAATAGCTGGGACTACAGGTGCAAACCACCACACCCAGCTAGGTTTGTGATATTTTAAAACAGAGTTCTTTAGGATTATGCCATTGTGTCACTTGAGGACTGTCCTACACAGAACTGGATAGACGTGGACAATATATCTGTGTCTGATTATTTGATTGGGATTGGATTCCAACCCAGTGTATCTGTTTTGGAGTGATTGTGTCTTTGGTTTTCCTCTCAATGGCTAATTACCTTTAAGAGACTAAGAGCCTGGCTGTGACAGGAGGATCACTTGAGCTCAGGAGTTTGAGGTTGCAGTGAACTATGATCGCACCACTGCACTCTAGCCTGGGCAACAGAGAGAGACTCTGTCTCAAAAAAATAACAATAAACATTAAAATAAAAGCCTATAATAGGCTCGAAGTTGATATTTCATATTCTTTTTGAAAAATTATTAAATAGTGCTGTGTTATAAATGTAAATCTCCATAATCCAAACATAAAGAATTTGATAATATATATGTCATGGTCTCTACTTTCTATAATGTTAAAATATAGTCGAGAAATATATGTAGTTAAGAAAAATAATTCTGCATAACCAAATACAGAATAATAGAAGAGATTGCATAGGTGCTAAAAGATAAAGGAAAGCTGCTTTAGAGGAAATGATAGAGCAATGTATATATTTAAGTGGAACTGGCAGAAAGGATGCTGTATATACTTAAATGGAACTGGCAGAAAGTTCAGATAGATGGAATATTATGTTCTAAGCAAGTCCACCCAGGTAGTACAAATAATTTATATTGTGGTCCATCAGGAAATTAGGTTAAAATAACTAATAAGTAATTATAATTAATTTTGATTAATAACAAAACA